CGAGCACGAAATTTCACATGCCACACAGCACAGGAAAACTTCCGGTCCTGAGACTAAGGGTAATTTCAAAACAAATTCAGTCAATGGGATCACTTTTCTGATTGATAATTGATTTAACTAATTGATAATTGTATATAATGACGATCATCAGACAACACTACGTTGTTTTTACTTTAAAACGTGGGTGTTTAAGAATGGGATCAGCGCATAGACTGTATATAAAAAGCGGTTGTAACCACTATGGTTGTAACATTAGCTAATGAACGTCAGCTTCATTGACAGATTAGTTTGTGTCACATACGTTTTTAAACTTGAATGGATGGGTTTACAAATACAAGTTTAATTAAGTTTGTTGTCTGATTTGTTATTTACAATTCACTAAAAACATTACTTACTGGCAGACTTGTTTAATTTTAGTTTATACTTAACGTGCTTCTGTTTTGAAAAGGTGACCCGGAAGCAGTTTCGGCGACACTTTTTCTCGATTCTGATTGGCTGTGTTCACGCTGCTGCTGATGTGGTGTTCCGAAGATAGCAAGCCTGGTTAGCCGATTCAGAGATATTCTTTGGTAAAACAGTGACTTTGCTTTGTTAGAATAATGCCTTATTATCAGACTTGGGAAGAGTTCGCCCGTGCAGCAGAAAAACTGTATCTGACAGATCCCATGAAGGTAAAAACCGTTTATTTTATCAGTAGGTTAGCATGCTAGCCGGATAGCTCGTTAGCGAAGTGAATGTGACTGCTGGTCTGAATGTGTTATTTATTTATTTATTTTTACTTTAAACTCTCAAATTCACTAGCTGTTCTGTCTGCAGGTCAGAGTGGTTCTGAAGTACAGACACTGCGACGGCAACCTTTGCATAAAAGTGACCGACAATGCCGTGGTAAGTGATGAATGTTTTAATGGAATTGTTAGTATCAGATGGTAACGTTTAGATGTTGACTAACATGATTTAGGATAACATTACTGTTTACATCGGAGGACACTATAACATATCTGGTTGATGGAGGGAAAACCATTTCTTTAGCTTTTTGTATTAATTGGTATTAGTTTGCCTGGGAGTTTACCAGTATCCAATTCACGGTGACGTGGAGACGTAAGTAAATCTTAAAGGCTAGGTGCTTTGTACGTGAATATACTCAGCTGTAGTCATTCGTTTTGTGTTGATTGATTCATCAGCTAATTGTATCAGCATGAACTCCTCACAATGCACCAGTGCAACCATTGTGTCTACAGACACGCTAGCGGCTCTGGGAGAAAGGGATAAAGCTGTTATTATAAAAGAAACACCCAGGACTGGACAAATGAACGTTTTGAGCGGTTGATAGATGTAAAGCCAGGGGGAGAAGATTCATCCTCATGGGGACATACTTGTCTAAACTATCAAATGCTGATGCCGATCCATCTAGTAGATGTAGAGAGATTTCTCTTTAAAAGTGAGCTATGTGACCTGCTGGCGATGTCACAAACCCATTTAGACATTTAGTAGTCAATATCAAAACCACTGACATTCCACGATTCTCAAAACCAAATTCGATACCACGGTAAAAAACAGAACAATAAATCTCATGTACTTCAATATACACTGCTTAAATTACAACACATTAACATTACAAAAAACAACATTGAAAGTTGTGAGGGGATGTCCAGGACAGATAAGCAGTGATTTTATGTCAATATATTCATAAATGAGCAAGATATTGAAATAAAAACTTTGCAATGTGCCTAAATAATTATTAATCTTTTTAACTTAACTAAAACTAAACTAAACTTAACTAAAATGTATAATATTCAAGGGTGCTCACTACCTATATTGGCAGTGGTTTGAGATTTCTCTGTTGAACAAAAAAAGTTATTGAAGATTGAAACAGGTCGTATTGCACTTTTAAGACACACTGACTCCACCTATAGTGACAGGTGTGCTATCTGTGGATGCCTGGCAGACTGAATAGTCAAAGCTAGTTGCATTTAAACTTATAATAGAATCGCAAAGCCCTATTTTTTTCCCCCAAACAATCACAACACTGTGTTAATCAGCATAATTACACAGTGAAGGGTTTTATTCATGACATTTATAGTATAATAGAAAGTTTGATGTGACTTGGCATGTCCTGGAGCGCTTTCATAACAATAGGTAGTTAAGGTCTGTTGAATGCATTGTATTTATGAAACAGTGATACAATTTACTGTAAACCCTTACTTTTAAATGCATCTACTTTCTAAAATTGCTGCTTAAAGAGGTGGTATTAAGCTTTGGCTTTTTCCTTCTCCTTTATTGAGTTATATACATTTTTTGTGAAAGTGAAAAAACCCAAAGTCCAACCCGAAAGGAGTTCCCATCTCCCACAGAAAACTCTGCTCTGCCTCAAAACAGCTCGTTTGTAGTCCAGCTATTTCCCTTTGATCCCTGTGACGACACAGGGTTAAAGGCAAAATTCGTGCCATATTGTTCGCCAAGCGGCTACTCCGACACGCCCTCAAAAACACCGGTGGAAAAACTGTGAGCTGCAGCACACGCCTCTCCTCTCCCTTCCAAACGTCTAGTTTGTTACTGTGATGTAAAGACATTTGTTACAGATTAATAAATCACCACTCTGAAACTTTTGCTCGAGTCCATGTTGCTAAGCTGTTGAGGGTAACGTATACAGCTGAACCGAAGCCGTGTTTATCATTTAAAGGCAAGATGTATCACTCCATAGCTAAAACGAAATGTTCAACACAGGGTCAAAAGAGGAGCTGCAGCAATGTGCAGTATGACAAAAAATATGGTGTTATTTGAAAATGAAACAATGTAAACCTGCTCTGGTACAACCCCTAATTTGACCCTGAAAATGAGCAGAATACCACCTCTTTAAAAGGGGGGGGGAAATGGGTAAGGGAAGAGGTGAAGCAAAAGAAACTGGCAATTTTACAATATTTTTTTTGTGACTTTTTAATCTGTGACAAAAATTGTCACCCCAGTTTGTCAGTTTTATGTAATAGTAGCTGCCATTGCCCTCATGTAGTCTTTTGTCCATCCCCACAGTGTTTACAATACAAGACAGACCAGGCCCAGGATGTGAAGAAGATCGAGAAGCTCCACGGAAAACTGATGAGACTCATGGTGTCCAAGGAGACGCACAGCGGTGCCATGGAGACGGACTAAAGTGCTCTAGTGGCGCTGACCTTGTAGAGCACCTGGACTGAGTTCAGTGGACAAAATGGTGGAGAGAGCACAGAACCATCAGAGTGCTATGTGGAGTCTGAGAGAGGGCAGTGAAGAGAGAATGTTGCGAGATTGATCTGGCTGCCTACACTCTTTTAATACTGTCAGAGATGTGAGATATATACTGTATATATTCTCAGGATTTTGTTTTTTTATGATACTTTGTAGTCATTAAAAATCCCATCATCCAGCTTTTCCTTGTCAGGCATTTTGATCACATCCCTGATGGTATTAAAATAAAGTAAGGTCAGAGTAGGCTGCTGGGAAATTTTAGGAAATGTAGAGATTGGAAAATAAGAGGGGCTGGGGGGAAATGTGGGACAAACTGTACAAAAAGTACAAATCCTCTGCTGCTGTGTTAGCAGCTTTGGCATTGAGCATGGAGTGTGCATTTATTTTCAGTTTCAAAGGGGACGAAAAGGACGGGCAATAAAGAGGCATTGCATGTCTTTTCTATTTACATCTATGTTGGATTCAATTTCAGCACAGCGATTGGTTTCATTTTGTTTGTCCTCATGGATTTGTGCCATGCGAATGAAGCAGGACCTTCTGATTTTGTATTGAAGGTGTGGAGAAACCCACGATTTCAATGGAGAAACTCCCACACCTCCAGATGCCATTGCGTTACATAGTCAATAAATGTTTATTTACCCAAGTACAGCCAGTATCTCCTTTTATTGATCTAGTATTGTGTGCAGTGTTTTAAGAACCATAAATGACTGCATGATTAAAGCTCAACTGGATGTGGAATGTAAAATCTGAAACTGAGATTTAATCCTCAAACTTCAGGGTCAAACAAATTGTGGTCACATTTTTACAGGTCTTACAGATGTTGCTGTCTGTGGTGCATTATGAAGAAATTGCTCTTGTTATGTAGTCGGGGAACCAGACACATTTGCAGATACCTCTGGCCCTCCTCCCATCCTGACATGTTTCCACCGGAAGTGGATCCGGGCAGGCCAATCGCAACCAAGAAGCTGGGTTTGATATGTGTTATGTCCAGCTGTTGCTGCGTCCTTGTTCAGTAGGAGATAGTAGGACAAGGTCATCAGCATAAAGTAGAGACTTTAGCTCTCTATGTAGGAAGGAGAGGCCAGGAACAGAACAGTGATCCAACAGCAAGTCTGCTTATATAAACATTAAATAGGATACTAAAGGACAGTACCCGCCACAGCTTGTTCACCCTGCTGCCTTCTGGGAAGAGAGATAGAAGTTTCTGCTACCACACCACCAGACTGCAGAGCAGCTTTCCCCCCCAAGCTATCAGACTCTTAAACTCTAATTCATCCTTAGCATGATAGTATATTTCTGTTTACCATCTTTCATAATTGATTCTTTATTGATGTATATTGTCTGCTATGTATCTGAAGGGAGTTACAAAACTAAATTTCATTCTATAACGTGTTGTGACAAAAAACCTACCTACATAAATAAAGTAGGACTTAAATTGCATCCCTGACAAATTCACTTTGTTTCTCAAATTTTAACAGCACACCTTTTTCCCCAAATACATTGACCAGATTGAAATATTTTTTAAAAACTTATAAAACAAGTGAATGTCATGTGAATATCTTCCCACGTTTTGTTTGGTGTGCATGTTTAAGTGTGAATGGTGTATAAATGGCTGCTGGTGAGGTGTTTCGGGAAGAAGACAATTAGATTTTTACTACATTCGTCATGGAAATGTAGTATTGTTTTATTTTGAATACTACAGAATAATTTACTCCGACAACTGCGGACACAGATGCCACGGTAGGCTCTGACATGTCGTTACTACACGTCCCATCATGCACTGGTGTTTCTACAGTTCCCACGGCAAATGTTGATCCTCTCATGTTTTCCTTTAATACGCGTAGACTTAAAGCGTTACCTTAAACTAATAACTCTGCTGCTCCTGTTGTTCCAGCTAAACTTAAAGATTAAGTTTGTGATTCATTTTAAGGAGAGTGGGCGAGGATAGTGGGGAAGGATTCAAGGAAAACTGCTAGGAATCGAACGGGACCAGCAGGGCAGCTGTGGCGGAAACGTGGAGCTTGCGGAGAACAGGTAAGACAGCTAAAACCAGTTCTGGTGAAATTCTTTTGACTGTGTCGTTGACGACATGCGTTGAAACAGTGATGCTGAATATATTTGCTTGTTTGGACCAAGTTAAAGTGAAGTTGTTAAACGTGGTGCTGCGTCACGAGTTCAGCTTAAAGTTGCTGAAGGGAAAACTTCGGACTCTGTCCACAGCAGAGATTTTCCTGCTCGATAGTTCAGCTTCAAGTTTCCTAACTGTGTCGCTGTCCAGCTGTGGTTTAACGTTACGTTGGATTGCAACATGAGTCATCTTTATCACCTTTAATAGCCAGTGTTGTTTTAATAGTTTACTGAATATGCTAAATATGTAGACCACAGGCGTGTTTAGCCTTCTACAAATACCTTAATATAATAATGTTACACTCACTATAATAATTGGTGTTTGTGTGTGCGCATGACCCGGGACACAGGCCTGTACATCTGACAGGTCGTTGAACTGCACTGAAAGTGGTCTGTTTTATGTAAGTCCAGTCTTGTCCTCTCATGGATGGCTGTTTGAGCTATGGTAGCTCTGGATATACACACAGTGTGAGAGTACAGTGGGGGGCTGCCATGCCTGCAGCTCTGCTGAATGGGAAAAGCTTTGTCATGCAGGTCTCAGGACTCTGTGCGGAGGAGCCAGGGCAGCCCTGTTCTTTAGTTTAATCCTGTCAGCTGGCCACAGCAACAGTAACAGCAACACTTTTGTTTGACTGGTCGTGCTTTTGTTTCTGAACTCATGACTAATGAAATAATTGGGCCCCAGACTCAGATTACACCTGGAAGTCATTGGAAATGTTTGTACTTAAGTTTGTTGCTCGCAAGTGGGTTACAGTTCCATTCTTATACAGTGTTAGTTTCTATATAATCATTCAACCATTCCTCCATCTCTGCTCTCAGTCTTTGCATTTACTCAATTACGTTTCACATGAATGACTTTAGATGTTGTGGCATCAAATTAGAGCCCAAATTGGCATGCCGATAATATCGGCCTATACTAAGTGCAGATAAATCTGTATCTGTGCCAATAAATGACAATTAAAAAAGAATTAAGAGACTGATCCTTCTGTCATGTTATGAGTGTTGTCTATGCATGGTCTGTCCACCAGAGGGCACTCTGCAACTCCCCGGTTGGCAACACACACAAAAATCCACCACAAAACATAACAATTAGCTGATGTGATCAGCTGTACTTTTCTTTTATATTACATATTATATTTTTATTTATAAACAATAACAATAATATAAAAATGCTTTCAGGACTTTCTGGGAAAATTCATTCATTAACACAACCTCAAACTATCTCGGTATAACAGTTTTTTATTCCTTTAGAAAATATATTGCTATACCTTATATTACCAATATACCACCTAGTCCTTATTTAGCGTTCAGTTAGTTTCAGTATTTTGTCACATACATAGATCGTATATAAGAAGTGGATGTAGTCATAGACCTGTTGGTTTGTGGACTGCCATTTTGAAGCCTTGAGTTTTGCTGATAGAGTGAAGCCATGTTGAGTTTTTGCAACCAGCGGCACCGGATGTGACCAGAAGAGTCGCCCTCTGCTGGCTGTTCAATAGAATGCAGGTTTAAAGGACTTCCACATTGGATTCACGTCTCAGACCGGAACTTCCCGATGGGTCACATATAATGATTCTTTCTTTTGTCTATGTCAGGTATAATAAGCTGGCTGCAATTTTAATAACGAGTACATGTTTGCACGTTCTTTAAAGGTGCAGTCATAACATCATGTAACAGCACATTTAAGATATATTACTGTGATCACAAATACGGCTACATCAGTTTTGTAATATTGTGGAGTTTTACTGATGTCTTTATGTAAAATATCTGTTGATAAATTGTTCCATCTGTTCTCCACTTGTGTTGTCTCCCTGTTTCCCCTGTCCAGTCCTGTATTTCTCCATCCATCCTTCCCTGTGCAGACGCTGAGCAGCATGTTCACAGAGGTGCTGGTTGCTCTGGTGATTGGAGGACTGATCTTCTTCCTGATTCAGAGGAGCAGGACCCAGGTTCTAAAGACAGAGGATGGCTGGTGGGGACCCGGGATAACCCCTGATGGTGTGGAGGACGTCACCATCCACCCCTTTAAAGTAACCACCAGTGACGAAGAGCTGGAGGTTAGATTCACTCTTAGCATTTACAAATAAGGCAGTTAACCACTAAGCAGACTGAAAACATTGTGAGAGCTTCCACATATCTTCTCTCCTTTTCTGTCAGGACCTATACCGAAGGATAGACCAGACTCGCCCTGTCCCTTCACTAGAGGATAGCCAGTTTAATTATGGCTTCAACTCTCAGTACCTGCAGAAGGTGGTCTCTTACTGGAGAAATGACTTTGACTGGAAGAGACAAGTTGCCAAACTCAACCAGTATCCCCACTTCAAAACCAAAATCGAAGGTGAGGCTGCACTGCTGACACATTCATGCAGAAGATACTGTTGTACCTCTAATCTGTTCTTATCTGAACTTCCATCCAGGCATCGATATCCATTACCTGCATGTGAAGCCCAAGAAGGTGCAAGAGGGAACTACTGCAATTCCTCTGATAATGGTTCACGGCTGGCCTGGCTCCTTCTATGAGTTCTATGGATTGATCCCTCGGCTAACAGAACCATCAGACCCAGAGGACCTTGTGTTTGAGGTGGTGTGTCCCTCCATACCAGGGTACGGTTTTTCTGAAGCGCCACATAAGAAAGGTATGTTTTTCTGGTAGACATGGGAAAATATAAATGCTAGCTGTTTGAATTTTGACAACTCTAACAATATATTCTTAAGAACCTTTTCTCTTGCGGTGGCAGAGATGCTCACAAGTCTCTGAGCAAGAGTCCAAGTCAAGTCTCAAGTCTCACGTGGTTATTACGAATGCTGTATCACCTTCTGCGTTCAATCCAGGTTGCTTATAAAACTGTATAACTATAAGAAATTCTGTAACTCGAACCTGTTTTGCATTTAAAACTGTGACGTTACAGAATCAACAATAAACCTGCAACCTGTTTTTAACTTACAGAGTACAGCCATGTAATGTGCAATGCAGTTAATGACAGCTTATAAAATACTGTAAGTCAACCCCCCCCACCACTCTCAAACCAGTGTAACATTATAACTAAATAAAACTGTAAAGTTACATGGTGAACAATAAAGCTGTAACCTGTTTTTAACTTACAGAGCACAACCATGTAAAGTGCAATGCAATCACTGACAGCTTAAACTACTGTAAGTCAACACACCCTGCAGACTCTCAAACCAGTGTAACATTATAACTAAATAAAACAATAAACCTGTAACCTCTTTCCAGCCAACGTTAGTAATTTACGTGATGGCAGCCAGCAGGACGTAAATGATTACGTTAATCGACCGCCACAAGTTTGGCAAGTAAACAAACGCTCATTCATCTTTTCATAACGAACGACAGTCGGAGTTAACCTCCCGTAGGTCGTAGCTGAAGCAAGAAGCAACAAACGTTAGATGGCCAATGCTGAACTTAACATGTTTACTAACCTCAGGTTACTAACCTATTTGCGTTCAGCGCGTCTTTGTTTGGGCCTTCTTTGAAGTTTTAAAGTCAAAGTTTATGATGAATGGCACAGCAACTGCCGGTGTTGTGCAGCCGCGCGCAGCAGATGCTACATGTTACGTAGGCAGGTTATAGGTAACGCAGGGAGGGAATAACAGCAAGCTCATCAGACGTTTCCTAAAAAATAAATATTGTTCATGAGTCCCGCACCTTGAGTCCGAGTCGAGTCTGAAGTCTTTTGAGGACGAGTCTCAAGTCGAGTCTGAAGTCACTGTGTGTGCGACTTAAATCGCACTCGAGTCCGAGTCTCTAACTTGAGTCCCCATCTCTGTGCGGTGGTGCTGTTAATACTATAGCTTTCTGCAAAGTCCCTATAAAGATTTTTTTTGTCCCACTGAACATAAAAAAACAGCTGAATGAGTGTATGGTATAATAACAATAGAAGAAGCGTTATTATGCGCAGATCACACGTATGTTCAATACTATGGAAACCAGCAAAGAGTAAAGATTGGACGCTGACTCCAAACCAGTTAATACCAGATTATGACTCGACAAAGACCCAACTGGGATTCAAAAGGTTGCCCATTTCCAAAAACACAACATAAACACATCTAAAGTTCATGCGTGCATCGAAAAAAGATCTGAGTTTGTTCCAAAAAGCGCATGTGACAGAGTTAAAAGGTAAAACAAGATGAAGTAGGAATTGTGCAGGCTTGTTGTATTAAATTGTTTCAGCTTGTGCTAGTCATGCCTAGTAAATTGGCAACTGAGTGAAAACATAGACAGGGTTCTGCATGATAAACTAGTTAGTTAATTAATTAATTAATTAATTAATTCACTCTATATTGATGTTGAATATTTAACTCGTTCCCTTTTTCTGTAGAAACTGCCTGGTTTCATACCGCAATTTCTAAGTGTAAGTGTGTGTGAACAGGTTTTGATTCAGTTTGTGCGGCACGCATCTTCCACAAACTGATGAAGCGTCTGGGCTTCCAGCAGTTCTACGCTCATGGAGGAGACTGGGGCTGGCTGGTCACCACCAACATGGCCCAGCTGGAGCCCAAGTAAGAAAAAAATCATATATATTATATGTATGGTTTTAGATATACAGTATTTCAAATGCATGTATTGTATTGGCCTAACATTTTACAGTGAACACTCGTCCTGGATGATGATATGTATATATTCTGTATTTCTGTACACTTCTTTGTAAATTTTTAAATAAGGTATCACTCCATTGCTCTGTGTTTTTCTTTTGTTTCTTTCATACCCCAGGACAGTCAAAGGCTTGCATGTGAACTTTGCCCCGCCCTCCAAGCCAGGGTTGCCCATCGTTTTATCCATCATGCTTGGCCGTCGTTTCCCTCAGCTGTTTGGCTTCACTGACTTAGATATTCAGCGTCTCTTCCCCTGCACGGAGAAACTGGTGGTGGAGCCCATCAAAGAGTCCGGCTACATGCACATCCAGGCCACCAAGCCTGACACCGTGGGTAAGGACCTGGGGCCCGTTTCAGCAAATTTGCAATGTGCAAGCTGCGACTTACAACATGAGACCCGTTTAACTGTTGAAAAGATACAAATTGCTTTTGTGAAACGGGCCCCAGGGGCAGACGTTCTTAAGCAGCATCACCGTAGTGGAAGATGTGTATTAGCCAAGTATAACAATAATAATCAACTTTATTTATAGAGCACTTATCAAAACAAAGTACAAAGTGCTTCACAAGAGATGCAGAGAAAGAGAGAGATGACATAAAGTACCACAGTGAATGATAAAATACACAAGGGGAAAAATAAAATAAGAAATAACAATAAAATACAACATTAAAATAAGCAGGATAAAAGAAACAGGAACGATAAAAGAAACAGACAGCTCAGATAAAATCAGGACATGTTTTCTAATACAGTGCGTTTGTAGTAGAGTAACAGATGAAAAGGTATTAGCATTAGCAGAATTATATTGGTCTCCATGATCACTTACACTGCGAGCAGCCAGCAGCGAGGAGATTTAGTATTTCCTTGGGGCTCGAATAATCAAGCACGAGTTTGAAGACTGAGGAAACCAGCTGAGGAGAAAAGGTGGGGTAGAGTTTTTAGGGGCGGTGGTAAATCAGAGGAGCAGTTTAGTTAGACTGCTTAAGTGGAGCGTAACATGTGGAGTGTACACACATGTTCCAGTGAACATTTCTACACACATATATCTATGTGTCTCTCTTTTTAATCAACAAATCAAAAAATGTCCTACTGTGATTTTCCCCTCAGGTCGAGGACTGAATGACTCTCCAGTGGGTCTGGCGGCATACATTCTGGAAAAGTTCTCCACGTGGACGAGCCATGACTTCAGGAACCTGGAGGATGGAGGACTCACCAGGTAAATAAAGCAGAACAGAGTGAGTCCGTGCTGGTATTTACCATCATCACATCCTTTTCACCATCCTTTAGTATGAAGATCAAACTATCAGATACCAATATATGCAATCATTTGTGAATGTCATCAGTAGTTGGATCTTATGTATTAGCAGCAGCCCCCAGGCCCCCTTGTAAAATGGGATTGTTTTGAAACGGTTTTGCACAAGTCACATTTGTCCACAGTACTAATCCAGAACAGATACAGAATATATTGACGACTGGTGGGTTCCTACAGGGACTACCGCTCAGTAGCCTCTTGGCAAAATGATTGTCATTAATATAATGTGAAACCGTGTGTGCGTGGTGCCTTGCAGGAAGTTCTCTCTGGATGATCTGCTGACTAATGTGATGATCTATTGGACGTCTGGCTGCATCGTCTCCTCCATGAGGTTCTACAAGGAGAACTTTGGCAAGGGCCTCAACCAGCCTCACTCGAAGTGAGTGAGAAGCACAGAGTTTAATGTGACCAGTTGGTTACAAAACAAAAACATTGATCCAACGATGCTTAAAGAACAGAAGAAGCTAACTGTGTGAACTAATATATCTATTTAAGCCACACTTTTCATTTGTGAAGTCACATTATAACCTTTCAAAGGAGTTCTGATGAAATTAAACATTTTAAAAATCTTTTTTTACAGGGTATTTTCATCATCGTTTGATTTTATTTGGATTTGAGTCAAAGCATTTGAAATCACAGCGTTTAGAGCTTTTAAATCATCTGTGTTTATTATATAGATATTAACTAATATATATAAAGCACATTGATGACATTTATTTTTCCATTGAAAGTTGTTTATTTTTCACCAGGTCATTTGGTTTCCAGAGCCTCACATCCTCCTTTTACTGAAACAGGTTGTTTAGGGTGATCTTAATACCTTACCCAGCAGTGTGTAAATCTAATGCTAACACCTCATCGTCTCTTACAGGATGCCGGTGTACACCCCCACCGGCTTTGCCTGCTTCCCCAACGAGCTGATGCACACTCCCAAACTTTGGGTTAAACAGAAATACCGTAAACTCATGACCTTCACGCACATGGCCCGCGGCGGCCATTTTGCTGCCATGGAGGAGCCCCAGCTGATGGCCGAGGACATCCAGAACTTCACTAAGACGGTGGAGAAGAAGGAGAAGATATAAAAGGGGGTGTACTCACAGACAGATAAATAAACTAAAAGTATGATATAGGAGTATTGAAAGCCAGATGGATGAATGGAAATAAACTGGAACACTGTGGTGAGCAGCAGTAGTAGACGTGGTGATTCCAGATAGAGAAGTAAGCCCTGTGTTTCTCTATGAGGTGGAATACATGACATAGTATAGCTCTATCAGTGAAAGTCCTGATCGTACTTCTTCAGGATTAAGCCAGTCTTAGGCAGTATAAAGTAAAATAATAAAGAAGTATAACAGACAGAGCAAAAGGTGAATTCATTGGATTTGTTGACCGCAAATTGTGGCAATTCCTTAGTTTGCAATAGAAATGGACAGATAGTGAGAAGACCTGGGTTGTACAGTAATAACAAAAACAGATGTTACTTTTTAGACGTCTAGGCCTTTCACTTCTAAACTCTTAAACAGTACACACTTTTAACATGAAGAGCATATTTTCACAGCCTTTAATACTAATTCAAAGTACTATTTAAGCTATATAGAAAATGTTGTAAAAAGGTTTCATCACAGTGTGTCAGTCACGTGCTGTGCTGTGGGCTTGATCAGCAGCCACATCACTAGTCCCAGCAAAACCACAGCTACATGTGTCAGTGCCGTTTTAAAGCCAGGAACACAGAAACCAGCGGCCATTCATTCTGTCTCCTGCCTTCCTCAAAACGTTCCTCAGCCTTGTAGTCTTGAACAGTTTACTAAGCAGCTGCAGATGGGAGGTCAGAGGACACTTGTTGTTATTGTGTTGACAGGCTGACAAGGTGCCAGGCATTCCTCTGACTGATAACGTGAAACCACAACAATGCTGCCATGTCATCGACCATTTCCATTGAATAGCACACTGCTGCTGCAACCACAGCCGCCTTTGATTTATGTGCTAGTGATCGTAACGTGCACCAGCTTTGCATTTAGTCGCGTTGGTTGACTTTGATTTGCTACAAAGACTAGAAGCACTGGGTGCTTACATTGATGTAAGCCTCCTCTAAAGCTCCAAGTGTAATCCTCATGAGGTTATTGATATTCAGTGCTTTTATGCATGCATTTACTTACCAATTCAGTTTTAGGGGCATGATAGCCCAACACGAGAGTAACAATCCTGAAGAAAGAGTCGAATCATTATCAGTGCTCATCATGTTGATCTTGAAGTTGACAAGCTTTGTCTGAAGATGATTTTCACAATATGGGCATCCAGAATGTGTAGCTGGTAATGCCTTGAAATACTATTTTTTTCACAATAAAATGCCCAAATCAGATCTTTCTTTGACAAAATAAAATGAAGTCTGAGCACTGCACTGTATGATCTGTTACGTCTGTTATTTAATACAGTTTCTGGAGCATCCACATCCACTGGCACCTCTCTTGTATTTTATGTATGTGCTGCATCACAATTCTTTAGATTTGGAGCTTGAAAACCCGGGACCTTGGACCATAGATAAAGACTAAGTTAGAGCTGGGCTGGGCAGTGTTTTCCAGCATGTTTTGTTATATTTGTTGAAATTCTCTTTACTTCCCGACAAGATCAATAAATCATATGCTCTGACACAAAAAGGAAAAAACAAATCCAATATCTGCGACTGTCGCAGGACTGTAATGAAATGAAATGATTGGCTGACCTAACTGCCTGTCTACCTACCTACCTGTCCACCTGTGCACTTACTGCACATGAACATGTGTTATGGGGAGTGACTGTGGAGGGAGTTCCAGCGTTGCTTACCTTAGCTTTAACCTGCCTTATAGCAAGTTAGTGTCAGTAAAACTTGATTTCTGGAACAGGGGTGAGTGATCTTGTTGAGGTCCTTCTTTC